CAGGCTGAGTCAGAGCGGCCTGGGGCTGCTTTACGAGGGAGCTCGACTGGAATAATGTACTCTGTTAAGGGAGAGCTGGCCAGAGAGGGTGTTCTTATTACCGTGTGTGTGTGTGTATGTGTATGGGTTTGTGTGTCTGTGGCGGGGAGTGTATTTACCGCATTGTGGCAACCAAATGTAATGTTACTTTTTAGTTTGTGGGGACATTTTTCAGGTCTCCACAATATAAATCTCAATTTTAGAAAAATCTGTGGCATGTTTAGTTTTTTGATTGCAAAAGTCTTGTATTTAGTTTGGTTACTTATGGTTAAGGTTAGGGCTGGGTGGGGGTTAAGGTTGTCATTGTTGGGATTATGGTTTTTCCTATAGAAATGAATGGATGGTCGACACAAAGATATGAATTCAAATGTGTGTGTGTGTGTGTGTGCGCGTGTGTGTGCGCGTGTGTGATGCAAACGTTCTTGGGGTGAGTTCTGCGCACTTCCAGTAATTTACACAATGAAGGGGCAGAATATCAAAATTCTGTAGGTGGATGGTTTAGTGTCAGCATGACACCAAATCTTTTCACGCTGCCCTTGTGAATGAGACAAAGGTAAGACGAAGGATGATGATTCACCCCAGGAAAATTACCGTGAATAGACTGAGGTTTTATAAAAACAGAACAAGATCGCCGTCTGTCTGATTTTCAGTGTTAGACTCCCTCTAGTGGTGAACAGTGAACATTCTTTACAGTTCCCTCATAGGTGACCACCATTATTGCTGTAATTCATTACCGCAGAAAGATGAGATAACAGAAAATGGAAACAGTGCATAGTCATGCACAGAAATATCAGGTACTCTGTTCTCCGTTCTGTTTGGCATGAGAAAATGAAAAAAGCATTTGGGAAACGCCAAGGCCGGAGAATATGAGGCTCTGCTGGGACTTGACAAGCTGTCGATGGTGGCCTGTACCTGCTCTATGGTCAGGGGCGAGCAGATCTCCTCCCCACGCAGGATTATGGAGCGTTGGGTCAGGACCTCCGACAGCTGGAAAGAGTCCAGACCCAGCAGGTCACTCACGATGTCGATCACTGGGGACAAATGGAAATGCGAGGCATTGGAACGCTTGCTGTAGAGTCAAATACACGGCAAAAAAATACAGTACATCTGTAGATATGAGTAGTGATGGCCAAACAAAGCTTCATGAAGCATTTGCTGTATTTTTAGACCTCATGAGATGGTGCCCTTGGTTTGTTTTGGGGGGCATATCTTGAGCCCTTCTTTGAACAGAGACAACCAACCAGGGGGGATCAGAAAATACATAATGGCCATCATTAGAATTGACTGCAAAATGACAGAGATGGACATGGTCTGAGTGCAGAGATCTCTGGACATCTGGACGTCCCTGAGTAAGAGCACTTGGGTCAGTGAAGAACCAGCAGGCTCCTTACCTCCCATGGTCGTGATCTGAGCCCCTCCTGCTGTCATGAACTCTATGTTTCCCATCTGCAGCACGCCCGACAGCAGTTTGAAGACATCCCGTATCTCCTCCTCCGTGAATTCCATAACCTTCAAGGCCTCCTACAGCGGCACAGTGAGGGACCACACAGCCCAAACACATCTTCCTGTTAGCTTCACCTCTGTTATTTCGTATTTCAACTTCTGACTATCATCAGCTACCGACACTAGTGATGGACAAAATGACACCTCAAGAACCATTTGCTATATTTTCTGACCCCACTAGATGGTGCTCTTCGCTTGCTTTGGGGCATGCTTTGTCCCCTTTTCTAAGCAGAGAGCTTCATCTAGTGGGGTCAAAAATATGACTCATGAATGATTCATGAAGCAACATTTTGTCCTTCATTAAGCGACGCCCTCTGTTGGAGGAACACAGTGGTGCCCGGCACATAGAAAAAAAGAGATGTGTCTTCCTTGGTCCTTTCTACAACCAATGGGGGAAAGCAACCACAGTGGGCGTGAATATATGACCCTCGCATTGAGAGCACGGGCCACAGATGGGCACCATTTTGGCTCCCGAGTGCCACCCTCACCATGACGCTGTCGAACAGCTGCTTATCGTCCAGGCTCTTGTCCTTCAGGCATCCCGCCTGGCTTAGGTAGTAGTAGCACTCAGGATCCTCCAGGAAGTACAGTTCTGGTCGAGGGAAACACACAAGTAGAGACGTGGGTCACCGCAGGGCTTGGTTAACAGAGGGGCAGTATGTTGGCTTGTGGGAGTTTTACTTACACAAAAATGTTCTGAGGGCAGAATGAAAAATGATTAGTTCAGAGAGATAACAAATCAGATTGCAGAGGAGGTGGGACCAAGATATCTGATTGCTTACATCTGATTGGTTACATCTGATTGATTATCTCTCTGAACCAATCATTTTCTGTTCTGCCCTCAGAACATTATTGTATAAGCAAGACTCCCATGAGCAATACATTGCCACCCTCTCCACATTTATACCTGCTTCCTGGCAGCCTCAAAAGCATCTGTCATCATCAGAATGCCAGGAGGAGGTATGGTGTCCTCTGGATGGAGAAGACACAGATGATAGACACCTGTGCTTCTGGTTTAAACTCTACAGGCTGGGTGCTCGCTGTAATTACTCTGCATTCCCATGCACATATATAACTATACCAAGACCATTTGTTTATTCGGTATTGATTTATGTTTCATTGTTCCAATGCGCTTGTTACAAATGGCCAATAAAACATCTTAGCTTGCATCTTTGAATGAATGATGAAAGAATTTTGTCTGTATGCACTCATATGATTCATATTCATATGACAGATAGATGGTTTATTATTCAGTATGTGGCAAACATTCTGACAACATTCTGAAAGGACTTGAACCCTATGAACAATCTGATTAATTAAAAATATATTCCAGCAGAGGGCACTGTGCCTATCACTCACCCCTCTGATTCTTGTTAGTGCCGGCAAGCAGGGCATAGAAGATATGATAGTTCCTCTCCCCGGGGTTCTGCCGCACCACGCGGTTCTACGATTTACATCAAACGGTTACCAGAACAACACAGAGCCTGCTGGTCTCCTGGTGTCTGTGTGTGTGTCTCTGTGTGTGTCTCTGTGTGCGTGAGTGTCTGTGTGTGAGTGTCTGTGTGTGAGTGTCTGTGTGTGTCTCTGTGTGTGCTGGACCAGCAGCATGTCATAGCTCTTAGTGTGCCGGGCCATTTTCAGCACAGTCATTTTCAACATCACAGGAATGATGGGACAAACTCAAGGTAGATGAGTTAAAAAAGCAACTGGGGACGGGGGGAGCAGGCAAGGTTACCTTTTCAAGCAAATCTGTAAGAAGGAAGTCAAGGAAACACTAGAAAAGGAGGAGGTCACAGAAAGCCACCCTACATCTTAGAACACCGCCTGGCAGGTACCGGGGCGGTGCTGGTAATGAGGGAGTCCCAAGGAGGAGCAGGGGCTACCCCGACATCCACGGAGGGACCAGCGCCTCCGATGCAGACAGGCTCAAAGCAAAGGGGCTCCTTAGGATACAGTCCACGATGCTGCCGCCCTGGATGTCCCCGCTCTGCCCAAAGTGCAGCTGTATGAACTTGCCGAAGCGGCTGGAGTTATTGTTGTAGACGGTCTTGGCGTTGCCGAAGGCCTCCATGATGGGGCTGCGGGTAAACATGAGGCAGATGGTAACCGGAGATGTGGTGTGTGTGTGTGTGTGTGTGTGTGTGTGTTTGCAGACGCCCACCTGCTCTGCACGATGGCCTCTTCCACGCGGGTGGACCTCTCGGAGTCCGGCGTCCCGGTCGAGTTCTGGCTCATGACGGACAGGAACTGCAGGATGAGTTTGGTGCTCTCGGTCTTGCCAGCACCGCTCTCTCCGCTGGGGGCTCAGCGAACATAAGATACGGCTGTCTGGTCGAACTGTGGGGAGGTGCTCCGCGGGGGCGGGGGGGGGGGGGGGTACAGGGGTGAAGGACGACACCCCCACACCGGTGTCAAGCATTCAAAACACACTCCCAGCACTGACGCTACATTGGTTTACTACTGTTTGCTTAGATGATACTTTTTCCAAAACCACCTTAACTTGTCTCACATACAGTAGAATATTCTTATAACAATGTTGTTATTATAATATTAACAATGTTACATCAGCAGAAGCCTCCAGAGCCTTGCAACATTTCGGATAATTGCATGTCCTTCACCAACACCTTACCAGCTGCTCTCACAGACCTTCTCGCTCCTCCAGCTCCGGACCAAAGGCACCCTGGGCAGTTTTATTACTCATTTATCATTTGGGAAATATTAAATAGTTGCAAGTTTACTCTTGGAGGGAGCTGGTTTGGCGGGCTGCCCAGGCACCGGGGCATCTTGTCCAATCAAGCACTCGCCAGGCATCTGTCAGCATGACAGACAGGGGCGGGCACCCACACCCAAGGAGCGCCCCTCAAACGTCCTTCAGACTGACCGGCGAGAGAGAGCTGACGGAAACCGCAGTGAGGTGGACAGGTAGGCCTGCTAGGTTCAGGCACATGGGTACGAGCGGGGAATATGGATCCAACACTCCACCTGGCAAAACTTCACATTATTAATTGCCTTTGTGGCTCTTTTTCTCTGTTTTCTTTATAGGTGTGGTTATTCCACAGAAGCCATATAAGACATAACAACAGTCCCCTCCTCCGAGGGGACATCAAGACCTCCAGTTTCGCGATCCCAGCGATCTTCCTGTATTTAAAACACATGGACAAAATATGTCTGTCAAAAGAACCTGGAAGATCTGACCCCATGTGGTTCAATAAGCTCCACCTCCTTCATCATCCTTCATATGCAACAGACCCTCTGTGGCAGGGCTCTAGAAATCTGGACCTTGATTCCAAATCCAGGCCTTATGATGACTGATTCTGATTGGCTACAGAGGCTTTACACCTGGGTCACATGTAAAGGAAGGCAGTGCTCGCACCTTGAGGGCTGTGATTTGAATAGCTCTGCTCTATGGACATGGGACGTCCATAAAAGGTGTGGCCGCCTAGTGGCCGGCTCACCTGATGAGCACACATTGGCTGTCGTGCCTCTTCCACAAGCAGCGGTAGCACTCATTGGCCACGGCGAAGATGTGAGGCGGGAGCTCCCCCAAGTGGTGCCGGCTGTAAAGGTCCACGGCGGCTGGGGCATACAGCCCGCTGATCTGCTTGTAGGGGTTCACTGCTGCCAGGATGGAGCCGATGTTGGTCTGGGGTCAGGGCAGGAATAGGAGACAGTTTGTTTCATTTTTATGACTGTAACCTCAAGGGTGTGAAGTGAAAGACCAGGACCAGTTCTTGGACCCATGAAAAAGTAAAATTAAAAGCTTTTGAACTCCTGAATTCATTGTTTTGTTGATAAGGTAAAAATGCTGTTTTAATGGAAAATTGAGGAAATACTGTCTCTAAAGGTATAACAGACTGGCACAAAGAACTGACAGCCTTAACTAGAAACCTGCACGTGCATGTGGTTTGTAAACATGACTCATACATATATTATCTACATTAACCAATCAGAGACTCTACATGCACGCACATCAATCAGACCGTATTTAAAATCATCACCACCAACTGATAACACATAATTTTTTTTACCCCTTTCTGTTACTTTGAATACTTCATTTCTTAATTATTTTCCCTATGCAACATCTCTGTTGCCTCTCGCTCATCTCCTAGACAGTGGGCTGGTTTATGTTTCTGGGGATTGTGTTATACAATCACATGACTGTGAAGAAACCTGATCCTATAATGTCTGGAGGAGCGTATAGACTCCAAGGAAAATGAGTGGTACTTCTGTCAGTCTGTGTTCGCAAACGCTTTCACACAGACCTCTTAGCTACTGCAGTCCTCTGGGATGGACCAAATACTGTAGTTTTACATTTAGCCACAGGAGGGCAGTAGAGCCACTATGTAGCCGCATGTTGAACTCTGCTCAGTGTTCGGCTGCAACTGATACATTCATTCGAATCTCCGGTAACCACTAATGTGTAGCTCAGATGTTTTACCATGGAATGAAATTAGCAGGTATTGTGGTTCATTACGCAGACAGAGCAGCACCTATTCAGCGGCGGCTCCTGCAGTAAAAACCAATCAACGGTGCAGGTGTAAGGGGCTGATGTCAGAATGTATTACAGTGACAGACACCCTGAAAGGCAGAGTCACAGTTTATAGCCCCACCCCAATGACACGACACACGGCTCGATCTGGGTGTGGGCATTCATGTGGAAATAACAACAGGATAGCAGCCTGTTAGCGGTTAGCGATGTCACACACATGTAACGCACAAGCTTTCAGAATGAACAATGTCTGTATCATGAATATGCACGTTATTCATTCTAGAGCCTTCTTTCAAGCTCTTAAATGCCCACTAACGGGAGAGCTTCACTGTTAACATAGAAGAGGAAGGCGCACATAAAGAGGTTACCGGTAGGTCGCTATAGAAGGTTCCAGAAGACTACTGGTATTGTTGTAGCTGGTCTCTGCTGATCCAAGGGTGTATTCGTGCACATAAATATATTTGAGGGGGTGTTAAACTCCACACATGCTGAGGTGGAACTGAGTCAGTAGCCCCCCATTGAGCAGCATTCGGATTAAAGTTTGGGCCAGTTTTAGGCTCCTGCCCTCGCTCCCCCCCCCGCATTCATTCAGGACACACCCTCTACAGTCAGGGACTGTACACATGGAGTTTGTGTGGAATATTTCCTACAACTGACTCCTAAATAAACCCCCCCAGGAATATAACCTGTTGGATGAGGTGTTGCTGTGGCCAACTAGGGGAGCCCAAAGCCCCAGTGCAGTGACGGGGACACAGTGCTGCATAAATAGCACCATCCTTTGACTCTCTGAGGTCATAAAAGATCCTTGGGCATCCTTTGAAAGAGTAGGGGTGGCACCCCGATGCCCTGCCTAAATTGCCCACTGTGGCCCTTACAGATGTGGCCTCCTAATCATCCCCTGCTAACTGATGGATTCTCTCCTGCCCCTCCACCACCTTAGCTACTGTGTGGTCAGTGTACTGGTGAAGAACGGCTGCCGTCTCATCATCCAGGTGGGAGCTACACAGTGGTGGTGGCTGAAGTCGCTCCCCATTGGTTCTGTAAAGCGCTTTGGGCATTTCGAAAAGCGCTATACAAATGTAACATTCATTCAGTCAGTATTGGTGTTGGTGTGGGTGGGGGCAGGGCGGAGGGGGCGGGACCTTACGTAGATGCAGTCCTTGCGGTAGCGCAGATGGAGGTTGTGCATGATGGCGGCCTCGTGCAGCTCCGCCAAGGCGGACATGTCCTCCACCCCGTCTACGCTGCTCTGGTGCATGGGGGAGACCTTCTCCCTGCTGACCTCCCCCAGCGGCAGGTAGAGCACCTGGGATGCACAGAGGAGGACCATGACTCAGTGGTGTGGAGAGCCAGCATGGCCAATCAAAGTCTTCACTGTATGACATCACTACACTGGTCATTTTCTTTTTCATTTTCAAATGCAAGGCTTACAGCCGTTCAACGATCTGGCCTGGGGTAGGGCATGGTTCAGCAGGGTAAACCTCTGTGCTTGTGATCACAGGGTTGCGGGTTCAACTCTTGCTACTATTATTATTATTATTAATATTGTTATTGACCCTATCATCATTATTAAATAAGTTCATACCCTTACACTGCTCCATACAGCCCATGCAGGCGAGCATATTCCCATGTTTTGTCTACATTGATCCATGACATGCCCCTTAACAAAAGGCATGCACCATAAAACAAGTACTTTAGAAATCTCTGCACCTTCCCACCTCACAGAAAACACTGGTTTTAATTAATGCAGTGATGTCATACGATGAAAACTGTGATTGGGTAAAGAAGTGAAACACAGGCCCCTCCCTTGTTGACCAAGGGACGCGTCGAACTCAGCAAAATCAGAATGTCCATGACTATACAAACATAAGTGGGACGGACCAATGAATGCTACCGGCACACGCATAGCCGACATAATGCTGTACATCAGCTTTCGCAAACTCAAATTCCCAAATGCCCAAACTCTGGGGACAGCGTGTGGCTCAGTGGGCTAAACCAGCATGTCTGTAATCACAAAGTCACTGGTTCAAATCCAGCCTCAGCATGTCTGCGGGTCCTTCAGCAAGGCCCGTAACCCCCAGCTCCCTGGGCACCGCTACGGGTGGTTGCCCCTTACAGACAACTCACTCTACAAAGAGCAAGCTGAGGGTGATGTACAGACAACTTCCCCAAGGGGATTAATAAAGTATCAATTATTATTATTACCACTAAAACACATAATTTTGCTTTTTAAACTAAAAAGCTAAGTGTTTGTCTTGTGAGAAAGGCCCCCAATGTCTGTACTGTCCACAGAAGATAGCTAAACACATTCACACGAAAGGGGAACACACAAGAACACACAAAAAACAAAGAGGAGCACACAGGACAGCCAGTACTGGGCATGAGTCTCTCACTGCATTTTATTTGATTATTTACTTCCTTAGTGGATTCCTTTATGCAGTCATTCACCTAGCTTGTCTTATCAGGAAGCTGGTTTTAATCCACTGAAGTACAAGGATGGTTGTTGTATACGTTATAACTGCATTAACAGCAGATCCCTTCTAAGGAGCTGAAGTGACAGCAGCCATTAACCTCAATGCTACTTCGACTTTAACGGCAGTCCACTTCCGATGAGATGGAGTACGAGCTCCGGTTTGCCGTTACGCTGCTACTATGTTAGAACAGCAGGCCTTCTAAAGATCTGAGAGGACGGCTAAAGTTAGCCGCTAAGCTGCTACTATGTTAGCGACAAGTTCTCTGTTAGCCGCGATGCCATCCAGTCCCCTTTCAGTTGCAAGGCTGCAATGGTGCAGATGTCAAATTCACGTGAGCTAACGATTCATGTTCCTGAGCGTTTTTGGTGCTGTCAGAAAGACAACAGGAGCTGGGGATTTCATGAGTCGGTCAGTGGGTCTGTGTATCCCCTAACCCATGTTGGCCCTGTAGTATCAAGGCACTGATTTGCCGGTTCCCCAGGGGGCCAGGTAGCATATGTTTGTTTACCATCTGGAAACAGAACACGCTCCTTTGCCCTCGGTTTGACTTAAACACATGTACAGCCCATGTTCCCTGGAAATACCTGTAAGAATGTGCCGCCTACAAATGTCAAAAGCTGCCGTCCACATACATCAGACCCCTGTGCTGCAGTGTTATGTGCGAAACAGACTGTCAGGCCACAGATTTACTGGGAAGTAGGTTCAAACAAATGCAGTGAAGACGAGACCCTCACGGCTGGCCAGTAACTCCATTCCCATGCCGCCAAAGTGAAAGGCAGCAAGAGGATAAGTATGTTATGTCTACAGGCCATGTGTGGTCGTCAAGCTAAAAGGTTCTTTTCCCTGGGGGAGTTGCTTATTTGCCCTGCTGGGGGAGCTCTCACCTAAGGCACCTGCCAACTGCCTTCCAGTGCTTCCAGTGCTGCCTCGCAGACTTAAAGCCGCTGAGATGAAGGCGTGAGACAGTAGCCCCCCCCCCCCCCCCCGCAGACTTCCTCCCGTTAGACCACACGGCCTGTCTCTGCACCCCCCCCCCCCAACACGCCAAGCACGGGGATCGTGCATCATGCCAGTCACAGAGGACCTCCCTAGTCTCCAGGTGAATATATCCAAAGACCATTCTCTGCTTTTGTGTGTGCATGAAGGCCTCCAGGAAGGGTTGCATGTTGGACGGGGTGCAGGAATGGTGACCTGTCTAGGTTGGATGCAGCATGCGTGAAGAGTAGGTGTCAGTTAGCCCGTGCACATGGGGGCACTAGGACCCAGAGGTTTTCGGCTGGGATGCAGAGGGATGCCAGAACATTGATTTTCCCCATTACACTGCGAGTGGACCCATTACAGAGAGACAGATAAACAGCCCACTACTGGCCCCAGAATGTCTAGCTCCAGTAACAGGTTTTTAAATGATTCCATGCAATGAATTTACCACCAGTACCATCTGGCTGTTATACAGTATGTACACGTGTGCATACATTCATTCGCGTTTGTGTGTGCATACTGTATGTCTATCGCTTTCTGAGCTTCTGCGTGTGTTTGCATTCCCTGGTTGTGTCTGTAAGCTCACTTTTATTTGTGCAGTTGTGCATCTATTGGCTTTGTGCTGGCTTTTTTTGGCTTGTGCGCTCAATTACAGCTAATGAACATGTATATTACGCATTCCTGTAAGTGTCTGTGTGTGATAGTGTGTCTGCGTGAGAGCTGCTTGGGACACCACACAGTAAGACCCACCTCTGTAGTGGTCAGGGCCCCACTCATGACACCCCAATAAGTTAAACCTGACTTAACGGGGGTCACAAAAAAAGGCGGCAAATCCAGTGGAATCAAAGGGCTCTTCACATCATAAGACGGACGCTGAGATGATGAGCATGTGAGATTTCACACTGGCCATTGCGGTTCTTCTCCAGCTGCCAGATTATATGAGACAGCTCCTTCACCTCACCCTGCAGCACTTCATCGTTTGTGACCATGATGGAGATAAAAAGGGCACCGCAGGGAAGACCAGAGGAGAACATTCTACAACACACCATTTATTCTACTGATGTACTGTACTAGGCTGTGCATTCATTAAACTGTAATTGTGATCTAGGTAACTAGTACACTGTGTGGTTAACACCATACACCTCAACTGAAACTTTATTGTCCAGATTCTCCTCTTGCACATGTATATGCTGAGTGTTTGTTTACGATAGAGTTATTTATGGGTTATGTACATTTGATGATAAAAAACCTTGATCCTTCTTCAACGGTTTTTTTCTGGCACAAAGCATGCAACTATGACGGAGGTAACTGGTGCACTGTGTGGTTAAGATCAGAGAAGAACAATCTAAAAAAACACTTTTACTTCCTGTGAAGGCACTAGGCTCTGCATTCATTACACGTGTCGTTTCTTTTTATAGATACCTCAGTGACAGCAGTTGTAATTAATGAAGCCCAGCTGACGTCCTCAACCAGAGCTCACACTGGGAATTGCAAGCAATTGTACAATTCCTCTACATTTCCGCAAAATTTTTCGTATAATTAAATATTATTTACCTTTGTGTATCAGCACAATACTTTCAAGTCACACACGTGGCATGATGCTCCCTCCCCTGCTTTTAAAGCGAGAAGAGGGATTGCGTTCATACTCTTCAACTGAGATCCTACAGCCAAACTCCGATACCTTTACAGCTATGCAAAAGCTCTGGAAAAATCTGTTAGGGAGGTAAGTGGGAAATATAAAATGTTTACATGTATCCATAAGTCTGTGGAGTCTCTCCAAGTTTAGAGCAGATCTCAACTTGGAACCGAAAAGAGTGTCCCAATTTCAAGACCCCAGGAATAAATACAGGCCTCATTTTCCACATGTAGGTCAGCACTGGACTTCGATTTAGAACTTACTTATTCCATGCTACCTCTTCTAACAGTGATTTCATTCCCTATCTTTTTCCAGCCATTATGATATTTTGTCATGTGCAAAACTTGAAAAAGCTTCTGAAAAGGCCTCTTGGAGTTGCCAAAGGAAAAATTATATCCATAAAAGCAACATAATAACAATGTACACCAAGATACTACACTGACAAGTAACACATTGTGCTTTGAAGGAACTTAAATGTAATAAAATAACTTAATCAAGTGCACCTAACATTGTGTTAAATGTCAAATGAATTAACTGCTGGATTCTCCCAGAATTAATCAGGTTTGAGAAGCATGTCTCAGTCACATGAAAACATAACCCCTTCCGAACCATTAATCTCAAAACAGTGTGGTGTTGAGCTAAACAATTGTGCTGCCACCCCTGGTTGCTAAGTGATGGGCCATCTTCATCTTCATCTGAATGTGAGGGACACAGACAGGAATGCTTGGGTCATGTGGTTCTAGTCCAAGTTCCTCTTCAATCTTCTACTAACATTTTTGCTAACTGATGATAATGAAATCAGCCATTACACCCTCACAGATCAAAAAGACTGCACAATGTGAAGTCACTGTTTACTGTAGTAATGTCACCAAAAAGTGAATTAGGGGAGGTCTATACTCAATCATAAGATTGTCAACCACACAGAATAGCCAGGAACGAATCGATACTAAAATACAAATACACTTATTACATCGAGATCATTCCATCAGTCCCTGACATTCACATTAACTTCCAGGACATTCCCCAACACATTCCCTTACACCAGGACATGCAAATTTATCAGCGGACATCCATCGTTACATTGATTCTCTGGCTATTAAGCACAAGAATCAATACTGCACTGAACAAACGGAGGTTGTGGTCTTCCCACCCAATACCAGTTGACTGTGCGTGGAGATTTGCAAAAAGGCCCAGCATTGTCCAGCCCACACATGCACC